ATGAGCAACGCCAGAGTTTATTCGAAGTTCAAAGATGTAATTCAGCAAGCAGTCAAGGCTGGTGTATTGACCCCCATCACGTACGACGAGGGCACCAAGATTCCTTACTTGAGGGTATGTGCCTCCCCTACCTGTCAATTTTCACCTCACATCTAACATACATCTCTGAATCATAGGCTTTGATCTACGAAGGAATTCGCATCCGAGCTCCCGCCACTGGACTTTACCCGAAGACGGTTCCTCCTCAGGGCGAAACTATTCACGGCGTATTTGTTCCTGGAGGCACCGCTATCTGTATGAATGCACCTGCGATGCTCAAGTCTCGCGCTATGTTTGGTGCAGATGCAGACCTTTTCCGGCCCGAGCGCTTTTTAGAGGTTGATGATGCCACCAGAGCTAGCTTGGAGCGTGAGGTGGAAATGGCATTCGGCTATGGGCGTTACATGTGTGCCGGAAAGCCAGTCGCTTTCATGGAGCTGTTCAAGACCTTTTTTGAGGTGAGCTACAACTTTCACGATCTGGTTGACTCGAACACTGCAGAAATACTAACTCAATCGTTTAGTTGATGCGCAACTTCGACTTTGAGCTTGCGAACCCTGTCAAGCCGTGGGACTCGTACAGCTACAATGTTTTCGTCGAAGAGAACATGTGGGTTAAGGTCACTTCAGCCAAGGTCGAGTGAGGTCTTGCATTCGAAGTCAATTCTCAGCTCCATCATAAAATAGGCACATATCATATCGCATATTACTAGCAACTTCCAATGACTAGAAAGCGCTACGTCGTTCTACAGATAAACTTGGAGAATTCCAAGATAAGGATGCCGTGCGTTTACTTGATGTGTGTTGACGTTATGCTGTAGTACATAACGATCCAATTTTATTGTTTGTCAACCCATTCGGAGTTACGACATTGGCAATTACCCTGTGGAGGCAATCGAGACGACATTTGTGGACAGGTATTGCTGCTGAACTACACTGCAGCATAGTTAGCCAATTATGTCAAAACAAAGCAAATGAAGCTCACCTGAAGCCGACGGGATGACGATTCTCAGATTGTCGTGATAGGGTGGATTGAGATTTGACTCTTAGTATAACGTTAAATCAAACCACCTAGGGCATGGCTTGACAAATCTCAGTTTGCTGCTTCTTTTAGCGGAAGCCGTGGAATGCGCGGTCAAAGATGGGCTGGCCTTTGCTTCGACTAGTACGTCGTCCACCCATTGCGCGGTACGCGGAATTCATATCCCGAGCTACCTTTGTCAGCTATAACGTAGTTGGTTTACGAAGTATCACCTATAAATGTCAGGAGGAAAGTTCTAAATACTTCTCATCAATTCATATTATCAAGTCACGTCAGGAAAAATCACTTCGAAACACACAAGAATGGCACATGCACTCATTCTTGGAGCCTCCGGCATTTCTGGCTGGTCTCTCGTGAACCAAGCTCGGACCTATCCCACACCTACAACGTTCAACCGCATCACTGGAACGACGAACCGTCCTCTTAGCCTACAACAGGCGCAGCTGCCGGAGGATAAGCGTCTTTCAATTGTCTCCGGAATCGATCTTACGAAGCCGGTAGAGGAGGTCGCCGACTCTCTGAAAGAAAAGATTCAAGACATCGACAGTGTCACCCACGTGTTTTTTACAGGTTAGTTGTGGCGTCCTGAAAGCCACATATTTTGAAGTGCAGAGACTGACATTAATGCAGCTTACATACAGACGGCCGACTTTCAAAGTTTGAAGGAAAAGAACACGAGTCTCTTGGAAACCGCTGTAAGAGCCATTGAGCAAGTCTCGCCCAAGCTGCAGGCTATCATTCTTCAAACAGGGGGGAAGGGGTAAGTGTTCCAGTATCTGCTGCTTTACGCCATGTTGCTCAGTCTCACCATGAACAGCTACGGTCTTGAGTTTTCTAAGGAACTTGAGATCAAGGCCCCACTTCGTGAGGACTATCCCCGAATCCCCGAACCGTGGGCAAGCAACATCTTCTATTACACTCAATATGACACGCTCAAATCGCTCTCCGAGGGAAAGCCTTGGACCTTCACTGAGATCCGCCCTGATGGCATCGTAGGCTTCACCCCTACCCCGAACCCGATGAACATGGCTCAAGGTATCGGCCTCTACCTGAGCATCTACCGAGCAGTCAAAGGCGCAGGCGCGAGTGTCCCCTTTCCGGGTTACGAGCCCGGGTACCATTCAACACACTCCGATACCTTCCAAGATATCCTTTCGAAGATGGAGATCTACGCAGCTCTAAACCCGGAGAAGTGTGGCAACGGCGCCGTGTTCAACATGGCAGACGGCGAGACGGTATCGTGGTCTCAAGTCTGGCCTGGACTCTGCGCCCACTTCGGACTCACTGGAGAGGGACCTGGAGCTAAGTCAGTCAAGATGGAGGACTTCGTGAAAGAGCATAGAGATGTGTGGACAGCGTTGGCTAAGGAACACGGCATCGATGAGAAGCTCATTGACAAGCAAGGCTGGGCGCATACCCACTTCATGCTGGTCGACTTTGACTTTGATCGGCAATATGATTTGTCCAGGTCTCGAGAGGTTGGGTTTGCGGAAGAGATTGACACAGTCGATGGATATGTTGTCTCCTGGGAACGAATGCGCGCTGCTAGGCAGCTTCCTCCCCTGAAGTAGCGTGTGATACTCGCCGAACTGATTATGGCGCACAAAGCTATTGATTCATCAAATCGAACACTCTGTATCTGCATTTCGTACATACGCAGTGTTGTGACTACCATAGAGATTCTCTTCGTGCGGGACTAAAGACATCATTTCACTTGCTCGTCATTCTCGCAACTTCAACCAGTAAGACCAAAGAACAAGAACCCTTACAAAAGGACTGGCCTTGCGAAGAACTTGCTGAATCGATGTGGCCACCCATGACATAGAAACAGAAGCTCGAAAGGGAAGTACCTCACTAATTTCACGATCAGTTACTCAACAAAGACTACACATGCCACCAAAGCAATCCCCGCAAATTCAAGCGTACTCTGCTTGCGATTTCCTGAATTGGTCGCCGAAGGCACATCGGCCAGGGCACTGGTTGTTGCGGCGGATCCTGTGGTTGGACTAGCTGACGATCCAGTCTGAGATGCAGATCCGCTGTGGACTTCCACGCAAGTGTTTGGTGCCCATATTGCAGCAGCTGAATTAAGTTAGAACAACTACCATCAGGATAGTGACTCTGATCAACCACTTACGTCCGATGTCTCCAAACCACATCCAGCGGTAACGATGCAACCGGCCATTTTCGCAGAGAGGGATTCGGATTGGGCGCACAAACAACCGAGATGAGAAGAAGAACAACCAAGCTCCTTTGCGATGGATGCTAAGCAGTCATTGGCGCAAGCTGGCAGTTCTTCACCAGCCAGCACAATACCTGCGCTGGCCAGAATGAGTACGACAGCACCAATCTTCATCATGAGATCTCCCTCAAAGGTCGGATTATTGAACAAGTGAAGAGTGAGCAATGTTATGGTTCCAATTTCCAAGAAAACGTACGAATTCGATTGGTATTTATGGGAGAAACCCTTGCAGAGGAACGTCAACGATCATGCTGACGTGATACCTACAGTCAACTGGACTAGTAGCGTTGTGATCGGAATCCTAGGAGCTGTAGAAACCCGCGTATACGTCAAAGGAGAGAAACACAGCTACTTCCAGTTTTTTTGGTCATTGCTGCGGAAATCTCAATCGTGTTGTTGCATGTTCCCAGCCTCATCATAAGGTACCTATACGCGTAAGCGCCGTGTTCGGGGCGCTGCCTCAACTCCCGGCTCGATCATCGAACAAGGGCGACAGATGATCCCACAATCAATTCCACGTCAAATAGACATCTCCAAAATCCAAGACTGCAGCCGCCGCCCAAGCACGATAACTGACTTCGACTCAACGATCGGTGCGGATTTCATCGTGAAGCAAGCCTGGGCCCACCGCGCGCTTTCCGAGAATCTCAGAATTCCGAAGTCCGTGCACACGCGGTGCCTGGGCTTGTCATTCATTGGGCATTCATCCGTGCGCCACACTCGGCAATCAAGGTTCTTATGTAATCTTCCCAAGCTGGGGTTATCCTGAGAGGTGACGTGCAGCCAACGGGATCCATGGTAGCGGCGCGCCCCTTTCCGTACAACACTACCTAGTCACGAAGCAATGGTGGAGTTCACAGGTAAGCCTGTCCAGCTGCGAAGGAGCATACTTGGGGGGACTTCATTGACCTTTGCTCGCTCGCATAGACTTTCCGAGGAACCGCAAACGGTCGCGGGGCAGGTCGCGTTCCAATCACCCCGCGAAGCGCCAGCGACAATACATCCCTCCCGCCGAGTACATCCCCATCCACGACAACGATGGACCGACGAATTCAACGACCATCTACCAAAATAACCGAGCCATATCGCAACGATCGCATGATGCTTCCCAAATTCGACGCAATGGACGATCATCTGCGAATTCCTCCAGAGATCCGATCCAGGCCGAGGTAAATCGCCTGCCGGCCGAATACACACGGGGTATCCCTCCCGACTTGTATGCTTCAGGGAAGAAAAAGGCATACTATATCGTCTGGAAAGGACATCAATGCGGGATCTTTACGACCTGGACAGCCTGTCAGGCCCAAACCAACGGGGTTTCAAATGCTGACTGTAGGTAGCGACCTGCTCGAGATGGGCTTCGCTTTCTGGAGGAATTTCACTGACAGGATTCACTAAAGTCGTGGGCACCAAGACTTTTTCTGAGGCCGTAAGGGATCCCTTTGCCGAAGTGGAATTACTTGAAGCTAATGCACAATAGGTGAGCAGGCTCCGACGAGAGCTTACGAATCAATTGCAACAAGCAGCTCCTAGGAGGCGGGAGTATAGCACGTCAGAGCTTACGAGACAGATGCCACAAGCAGTAGCTCCTGTGAGACAGGAGTATAGTGCGGTAGAGTCTATCAAACAAGCCGCTGCTAGGAGGCAGGAGTATGATCTGCCGCCACCATACACTACAATGGCTTCTGGTTCCGCGTCTGACCCGCCCTCACCTCACAATTCTTCATGCTACGCAACCCTTCCCCATGCTGCCGTTTCCAGCGCTTCTGTCACGCTATTGCCTGATATCTCTCAATACCACATACCCATCCCCTATCCTCCCGATTACATCGCTTCTCATTTTCCGACCCCAAATTCCAACGCAGCCCCAACGACACCGACTGGAAGAGTCGCAGCAACGGTCACTGAGGTACCGATCAAGCATGAATCAGAGGACTTCATCGTCGTCCCCGCGGCACCGTCTGCAAGTGTCGCGGTGGCGGTCACCGAGATGCCGATCCCGCATGAACTAAAACAAACAGAAGCTCCTGACAAGCCTATCCTATGTCCGGAGCAGCAGGAGGCCATGGATCTCGCTATGCAAGGGCACAATCTATTATCACTGGGTACGTATTCCCATGAACAGCTTCTGCCCAAACGCTTGAGACATTTGCAGATTCAAGGAATCACCACACAGCTACTAACGCGTCGGAAATGCAGGTCGGGCGGTTGGGGAAATCAGTCCTCGTCAAAGCTCTCCGCGATGAGTTCAGATCCAGAGAGATGGACACTCATCTTCTTGCACCTACAGGCCAAGCTGTTGTCAATATTGGTGGGAGAACAACCTTTAACTACGCTGGGTGGACGCCCAGTGACTTGGCCAAACCCTTGAACGGAAAAGGGGGTCTCGTCGAGAAGGCGCGCAGCAAACAGGTCTTCACTCGAATTGACGCAACTGATGTGATCATCATAGATGAGATCAGCATGGTCGAGAATCACTTTTTCGAGCGACTAAGCCGCGTCATGAGTATCATTCGAAACGACCCTAGACCGTTCGGGGGTGTGCAAGTTATTGTTGTTGGTGATTTCTGCCAGTTGCCCCCGGTGAAACCATTCGGACATTGCATGATATGCGGCAGTCTGATGAACAAGACATCGCGAATCAGCTCCTGCTCTTCATATCCCCAAGAGCACGGTCGATTCTCAGACGATGATAAATGGGCTTTCAAGTCTCCAGAGTGGTCAAAGTGCAACTTTAAGTACGTGCACTTGAAACAAATTCATCGTCAACAGGACGAAGTGTTCGTCGGCGTTTTACAAAAGTGTCGACTTGGGAAACCCCTCTCGAAGCCAGATGTCAACCTCCTCCTGGCACATGAGACCGATATTGAGAATGGCACCGAGCTTTACGCCACTCGAAAAAAGGTCGACACACACAACAAAAAAGAAAATTTGAAGAACAAGAATAAAGCGCGGAAATACTTCTGTTTGGATGACTTTTGCGGGCCTGAGAATGCTGACCTGCCTGAGGAATTTGTTGAATACAAGGTAAGTCCACAATCGCCCAGGCACCTGTCTCAACTGGCAGGAGCGAGTGCTGATCATAACCGTGGACAGGTATTAAACCAACTAGCAATGGCACCGACTTCGCAACGGCCATTGAAGTGCCTTGATGATCACCGTTATGCCATGTGCTCGGAGCTCAAAGTAGATATGCCGGTCATCCTACTCGCAAATGTGAGCATATCCTTCACATCGCCAGAATTTGTGCATAAATGAGAGAGATGATTGTCTGACACCCCGCAGATCGATCTAGGGGCAGGCCTTTGCAACGGCAGACGAGGCAAAATTATCGGCTTCAAGCCCCTGGCAGAAATGCCTAAACAACCCAGTCATAAAAACTACAGACATGACCCCGACGGTTTCAACGTAGCTCAGCATCGATATGACCACATGGTGACTTTCATCGCATCAAAAGTAACACCCCGAGAGTGTAAGTGCCAGTCCCGTCTACTTCGCACGAATGTTTACAACGTACCCTTCGCTTATCTCTAATGCTGATGTCTTGCAGTCCCCGAAGTGGAATTCACAAACGGGATACGTCGCATCATTGGCCCCGACACCGCTGCTAACAATATTGGCAAAACATCACCCTACTGGTTGCTAAGCCGCACGCAAATCCCTCTAATTCCGGGTTGGTCGATGACCATCCACAAGAGTCAGAGTCTAACTTTGGACCGTGTCACGGCGAATTTGAGCAATGTTTTCGAGACTGGGCAGGCTTATGTAGCACTGAGCCGGGCTCGGTCTCTCAAGGGGCTCAAGATAAAAGGTTGTACGATAGCCAAGCTGCGGGACGGCATGATGGTTGATCCTGTGGTGAAGGGGTTTATGGACAGGATGGAGGCTGCAGAATCGAGGGAGATTGCAGAAACAAGACCGTCTATGAGAGACAGGTTTCTTGTGAAGCGCGAGGAGGCTGCAGATTCGAAGGCTACCGGAGAAACAATACCGTCTCTGAGAGATATGAGAGATAGGTTCTTTAGGAAGCGCGAGGAGGTTGTAGAAATCAAAGAAGAGCCCCAGGACCAACCTGCATTCTTCTTTGATTTACAGGGGGGATAGGTCATGAGGCTCATGAAGACGACGGGGGTCACTGGTCAGATACCTGTGTAAGATCCTAGATATTTACGCTCACAGGCTACACGGGTACAATGGTGTTCATCTAGAGTTTTTGAAGGATTATGTCATTCTCATCTTGTACCAGGCAGGGGCATGAATCAAGACATTTCCATCAGGCCAAGAATTGACCGTCTCCTTGGTACCTCAACCTGATCACACAAGCATGTGCTGCCGTGTCGACATTGTTCGACGTTGCATAGGCTCCAATCAATGCCCCTAGGTATTTCCATGAGTCATTTTATCAACAGCCAGAAGTCGAATGCTCGAAGCTTACCTGTGAATATCGGACGAATGAGTGACGCGCGGGCGTATGCGACAGTTATCATCTGCGACTGATGCGCTGCTGGCCCGGCAGAGAACGCGTAGTGAGTCGCGTTGAAGGCTTTTATTTCCATACTCAATATCTGATCTCTCCACTCTTCAGAAAGGGCCTGTGAGGAGGATTCGATTAACGTGTCATTGGACGTCCCTTGAAATCGCAGATGCGGAGTTGCACGACCGGTAATGTTCGTGTCGGTTTGTACCATTTGAACGACTCCCAGCTCAATGTGTGTTTTCTCGCTGACAAACACAGTCACGCCGGCCTCATCGCCATCTTGGTCGAGGGAAAAGGTCATGTCCATGCTGAATGTGAAGAGGCTGTGAGATTGTCGGCGGGCCAAAAGACTCAAGCCGTCGCCGTTCGTGTTTGAAATAATTGACGAAAGATTGCCGAAGGAAGGCGCAAGCTGAAGCCCACAACTCGGATCATCAGGCGAAAGGTTGTATTTGCTCTCGTCCGGATATCGCCAGTGGACGAGATGAGAAGGCTTGAGATGTATCTCGGTCAAATCAATGGCGTCCGTCCCTGCAGCATCTTGACCGGCAATCGTCATACTCTTTCCGAGATCATCAGATGGCAGCTCCCATCCAGAAATGATCCCTTCAACCTGGGTTAGCACAGGCCACTGACCTGGTTCCCAGTTCACTGGGAACAGAACCGTCTCGCGACCCATCGGGAAAACCCTGTTTTGGAGGTTGACGCGCATCGCGTGCGCTACACCCCACCAGCTCCCAGTAGCGTCCTGAAAAAGGTCCGCATGGCCAACAGCCTGGAAATATTCGGTCGAATTCGCGTTGGTAAGAATTGGGTTGTCTGGGTTCGCCTCGTATGGGCCGTTGATACTCATAGCACGGGCTATGGTAACCATATGGTTTAAGAAAGTCCCACCCTCCGCAATGATCAGATAGTAGAAATCCTCTTTCTTGTAGACATGGGGCCCTTCCGGTGCCGCGCCTCCGGTTCCATTCCAGATGTTGATCACCTTGCCCACATTGCCAGTGTTGAGATCGATCATGGACTGGAATATCCTAGATCGTACCTCTGCCAGGGGTGCCCATGTCACGTAGACTTGGCCATCGTCGTCCCAGAAGAGGCTGCTGTCGTACCCGTCTGCCTTAAAATGTAGAGGATTAGACCAGCTGGCTGAGTCATACGGATCGGTCGATGTGAGAATGAAGTTTCGCCAACGAGAAGAATCGTTCATAGGCAAGTAATCGAGGACGAGAGTGGTCGTCAAGAAGAAGGTCCCATTGTAGTGTCGAACGGTCGGCGCCCAGATGCCCCCGACTTCTGTGATAGGGCTCGCAAATTCAGGTAGCTGGTCATGTCGAGAGAACGCATGGCCGATGAGAGTCCAGTTTTGCAAGTCCTTACTTGCAGTGATTGGGATGCCAGGGAAAGCAACGAAGCTGGATGATGCGCAGAAGAAGGTCTCGTCGAATTCTTTTACAAAGATGCAGCTGGGGTCAGGATAGAACCCAGGCAGAATGGGATTGAGAATGGTCGAGTTTAGCGCGGAAGTCGCATGAGCGAGATAGCTTAAAAGCAGGGCAAGACGCAAAGGTAAATTTATTTTGGTATGAAGGCAATAATCATGTTAATCTTTTCATCTTCCGTTGTCAAGGCTGCAACATGAGTTTATAACAAGCCGGTCTATCTTCATGGTACTAACAATTGCTTCACCGTGGATGAAATTTCGGGTTGGGTTGCCCGATTCACCGACAGATCTGGCATTGAATATGCAAGTCAATGAACCTAGACACGTAACTACCTACTCGCTGGAATGCTCAGCCGAGTCCCGAGGAACATATACTTGCCGCAAGTTGTTTGCCCGCCGTACCTTTGTACGAAAGTCCTAATGAGATCGGCGAATAGCAAGAACTTAAGTACGCGTATTACCTCTACATTTCGTGACACCTAAGTCCAGCTGCTCACATAAGGCATCCTCTGCGAGTAGGGAATGCTGAGTTTTGTGACTGATACAGATTGCCCGAAGCGTAAACTTTGAGTGTCATTAGACCATTGGGTCTCCACGCTGATACGTCGATACGAAACGGCCAGCTTTACCCAGTGCTTAGTCTCAGCCAGGGTATGGCTCCAGCCCGAATACGCGGAGTGTGGCCATAGCCGAGGGTCCTCACTACGTCGGGGGTTTGTATCCCTTTTTGCCCATGAAAGCAATTCCTCGCGTATTGATAGTACGACATACGAGAATCTGCCCCAAAAGCCAGGTGAATCGTGATATGGATGCTAATGTCCAGTTTGCCCTCTGCTGGTATTGTGGCACTCATTGTCGCTTGCATGTCGTGCGTTTATCCCTTGGCTTCTACTGAGTTGAAATATCACACGAGCAAAAAGAAAACCATTCCGAATAAATTTACAGTCAACATGAACATTTTGTGCCTGTCCACTATGTACGTCTGTCTCGAGCCGAGCTCTCGGTTCTAGAATTGGCTGAGAACTCCAAGCTCACAGGGTATCTGTGCTGGAATTCCATGCGAAAACTTGCCTACTACCAATCCTCAACCAGGCCGCAGTTGTTACCACGTGTGTTTAGCAGAAACTGGCAATTGGCCGAGTTGTCCGGATCAGCGCGACCCTCAATATCTGTGTACCCAACCCAAAGAACTTTGGAGTCTTCCTCTTGATATTTAGGCCACGAAGGCTTCTTTGTTTTGTCGCCGTCGCCATTGGGGTCATGGCTGAGAGCGAAGGAAATATAGTAGCCTCGCATGATCTTGGCCAAGGTCGCGTTTCCAGGAAAAGAGAACACTCCTTCATTCGAGCCATCGGCTGTTCCAACAGTCAGCAATTCTTCCTCAAGATAGTTCTCGCGAAGTACTTACCATTCGTCACACTACTGTACAAATAATAATCCGTAGTTCCGTGAAACTGGTAGCCTGCGTCGAAGACGAGCTTGTAGGCCGGTTGACCATGCTTGACTACTGACTTAGCAATATGTCTGGTTGGGCAATTCACTAGAGCGTCGCCAATGATAGCGGACCGCTTCACGAAAGAGTCCGAAAGAGGGGATTCCAGAATCCCAGCCTCCCGAGCCTCGGGGTAAATAGTCAAGGCGTCGAGGTGGGTTCGATTGTAAAGACTCGTAGGATAGAGCATCGATACAGTCTCAGCAAAGAAGCCGTCCGAGTCGTGCCATAGAGATGTGAGATCAGACATAACCTCGCTTTCTGACGCCAGTGAGAAGTTGGTGAACAGGAATCCTTCGTCAAAGTTTCGATACGTCATGACGGGGACTTTCGTGAAATGCCCATTTCTAAGTTGGCGAGCAGGATGATCGGGGATGACGTGTCCATCGACCACCGGGCCCCAGTAAAATGTCCCGAATGCGTAATCCTTATGGTGATAGGCTGTTCTGAACGCAGTCTCTGTAGCTGAACGTATGCGGGACAGTGACGCGTCTCGCAAACACTTCAATGAAGAGCATCTAGCTGCCCTCAAGAACTCTCGATACTGTTGTTGCTGCCACCCGTTATCGTATAGCGGGGTCCACCACGGAAACTCTGCCTGTGTTAGAGTGAGTGCAACGTTATGGAGGCGAAGTCCATCGTTGAACGGCACACCCACCTGGAATCGCTGCTTGGAATGGTGCTTCCTCTGATCCACCGTACATCACCATCTGCATAGTGACAGATCCCCCTCCCGCGCTGCCCCCAGAGATAGTAACGCGGTTAGAATCGCCCCCAAATATATGGATGTTGGATCGAATCCACTTGAGAGCCATTCTCTGATCCAGGAGGCCAGCATTGGCTGTCCCGTCCTTCTTAACATCGTTTCCGGATAGAAAGCCAAGCGGTCCTAGTCTGTATTGCAGTCCTACAAAGATCATTGTCCCATTCGACTGGCCGACAAGACTATCTCCAGTGCTTGCAATTTGACCACCAGCGACATAACCTGGAGTTTGAAGATTATCAGCTGCAGCACTCAAAGACATGATTTTCCTCCTGACTCACCTCCCCCATGTATGTATACGAGGACAGGCAGTCTCTGGTATTTTGGTATCATAGGTGTTTGGATGTTCAACAAAAGGCAGTCTTCGGATTCGTCTCCATTGTCTTCTCGCTTTCTTACCCGAGCAGCTGCTGTTGCGCCCTCCAAGCCCCAGTATGGACTGGACTGAACACACATAGGACCCGGTCGTATTCCGTCAATGAGTTGCAAAGGTGTGTCAACTTCGTTGTTGTACTCAACCAGCACTGGTGCTCTCCACCTCCGATTTCCAGTTGGTGCTTGAGCATACCTGATGCCCATGAAAGTGTTGATCCTTTTCCGGCATGAGTATTTAATTACTTACGACTCGGGTAATGAGAAACTTGGTGAGGGAGCTTACATAGAAGTCTTGTTTTGCAGACCCACAAACTTGACACCTGGACCCTCCACGGTTATCGAATCACCAAGAACCCCATGGCTGGCACAGAGAACTAGGGCCAAGAGCCTCAGAATGTAGACCATGATGGATGGGCCACAGTGCATCAATGGGGGGTTCAAGAAATGTGAACGCCCAGGAAAGAAAGTAGGCAACGGCGGCTTATGGTGTTGGAGCCAAGATTTCTTGCACGAGTATGCCTCAACGGTTGAGCGTCAAAGATGCCGGGAACCTGGGAGGGAATGACGGAAGAGGCCACCAGCGATTCCGGATTCAGTAGTCTTATGTACCGGAGACGAAGTACTGACGCCCATTGCATGATGGCTGCGTTCCGAGCCCACGGCACACCGCATCCCCGTTGATTGCAACTGCTACTGCTCAGGTCCAGCCATCCGTCCGGATCAAACGTCACTAACAACCGATTGTTCACGATCGTTTGTGACGAGGACTGATACTGCCGTTTGCCGATCAAAGCTCTTCCAGGTATCAATAGCTCGTCGGATTTTACATGCCTCGTAAGCTCTCACCGCCTTCGGCGGGGCGACAACGTTGGAACGTGGGTGGTGCGTGTAAGCTAGACTGAGACCAGACGCTGCAAGCCACCAGTGCAGCTGAACTGAGCTGCTTGCGGCGACACTGGGGTGAGTGCCTGAAGCATCGAGGCGCGCACATAAGTCCCTGATTCTCTGGTAACTTTTCTTCTTTTCCTTTGATTCCGATTTAAAAATGCCGGAGATTGTCATGCTCATCCCGCGATGACGTACTAGTCCATATATGCCTCTACGCAAGGCCTGCGTGCGGTCAACTCATTCTTGTTGATTTGCCAACTTGGTTTCTTCTCCGTCTAACAAGTACGAAGTATCTCACCCAATTTGAACCTGTCAAGCCTGCTTGTGTGCGCCGGATACTATTGCTAAACTGATCAATGTGGTAAGGTGATCCCGCCTTTCGGCCTCACCTACCCCGACAGAAATTCCCGCGTATTTTGTGAATACGCGCTACTGCCGAGCACAAACATCAATGATAGTCGACATGGATGCCGTGTAACACCATCACAGCTCATCAACTCAATAACGAAATCTGATTACGGTGGCTTTCTTCCTGCCAAGGGCGGCAATTGACAACGGCCATGGACTAGCTTCCGAGGAGGCGAGGACCTGGGATCTGCTTCGAGGTTCCACATATTGGTTGGATTGACATTCAACCAATACAAGGTATCGATTCATGTGTTCACTTTTGTCTGAGCCGCACATGAACAGGCATACCGTCCTTGGGGTGACCAATGCCGTCGCCGGCCACGTACAATCGTTGGCCTCTCACCATATCCTTCTGTCCCTTGATGCCGCTATTGGAGAGAGTTGTTAGCTGTGTGGCCCCAGTGTTCGTAGACCAGAGAGTAAACTTACCGAGCAGCATCCCATTCATCCCAAGCCTCCTCTACATCGAACTTTCGGATGATGAGAGCGGCAACCAGCTTGATTTCAACCCAAGCAATCTCTTGTCCAATACAGTCTCGGGGACCTCTTGCAAAAGCTCTCCAGGCATCCTTGACAGGGTGCAACGGGTCCTCCGCAGGCACAAGATAGCGGTCCGGGATGAACTTATCCACGTCAGGCCACAACGAGGGGTCATGCTGCATGCCTGGCCCGCCATCCCACACCAGAAACCCTTCGGTAGGATACTGCCTGCCCTCTGCAGTCAAGAAGAATCCTGCTTCACCGCCTCTCATAGTCGACGCGAGCTGGTACAGCCGCAGACTTTCCTTAATGACGGCATGTGTGTAGCGCAGCGAACTCAGAAGCTGGGGTGATTGGCTGAGAATCTCGGCCGCTTGGTCAGGATCCATGCCCAAGACCTCATCATGTTCCGCTCGAACCTTGGCCAAGCAGTCTGGATGGTCTTGAAGCACCTTGAACATGAAGCAAAGTGCGCTGGCTGTCGTCTCGTGGCCGGCGACGAGGAAGGTCTTGAGGTTGCCCATAATAGTGTCCATCATCTCGGGGTCGGTGGCTGGGTTGGTAACGCGGCCGCCAGCTTCCTCTGCAAGGTGCATCAGCGCCAGGTTGAGCACCGTCTTCTTCTTGGCAGGCTTCAGTCCTGACTCAAGAGAGTGAATGATGCTGGGGTAGAGCTGGTTGTACACTATCTCATTGTTGCGGTCAACGGCCCTGTTCTGCCACGGGAAAAGATAGCCAAAGCTGAAAGCTTGTCGGATGCCCATCAGCCTGAGCTGGTCCGCTAGAGCCACTCTGAGCGGACCAGTGGTCTTGTTCTTCTGCTCGTTCAAACGCTCGTCCCTTTGAATCATGTAAGTAAATCATGTTCCCGCTGGGATAATGAGAAATTAGGTCAGGTCTTACAAGACGGCTCGGACGATGATGTCAAAAGTCAAGGCTGTTGTCATGTTGCGCAGCTGGAACATAGGACCCCAAGACCCATTTGGACCAGCCCGTTGCTTCAGATTGTCGGCGAACACCTTGATCTCCTCAATCAGTTCAGGAACGATCATCGACACATTCCTGGAACTGAATCCGGGATTAAACCATCCTCTCCACTTCTTCCACTCGTCGGCCTGCAGGGTGGCAATGTCCTTGCCCTTGGTCAGGGGATTCATGAAGTCAAGAGAGATCTGGTGCTTGTCGAGATTCTTCGTCTGGGTGAACTGAGCCGCAACCGTATTCTTGTACGCGGCCACGATAGGCGCCTTGAGAACGGGCCACAGGTCGAGGTAGATAACAGGAGGGCAGTGATCCATTTCGGGAAAATATCTCTTGTAGTTGTTGATAATCCACGGGTGAAAGTTGCCAATGTTGATGTCTCCCGGATACTCCTTCCGGAACTCCATCATCACCTTCAAATGACCTGTGATCCAGGAATGGGGCAACATGGGCTACAATCTGAGGTCAGCCTATGTTGACACGATGGTCGGAGACGCTCTTGACTTACAATGCCCTGTGCCCTCACTTGCCTAAACTTCCTCCGAGTAGTAAACGCTTTCCAAAGAACCTTCAATACTAGAGTTCCAACAAAGACTGCGGCGAGCTTGAGGACCAGCGGCAAAAGCGCCGCTGGTGTCCACGAAATCGTGTAACCCATGTCTGCGAAAACGTTCAAAGGGTATTTGAGGAGAAAGCTGCACGTAATTGATTGCACTCAGATGCCAGCTAGAAACACTTCTTTCTGCATATGAGGTGCTTCCGTCACTGAGTTTTATAATCTATTCGGGTCAAGTGGGAGGAGTCGCAATGCGGGAGCTCCAGATGGGGAAGTATGTTTACATTTCCGTTCTTGATCACACCGAGGAGCTTAAGCTTCCAGGCGACAGGGTCACAGCTCCGAGTGCACCAAAATTTCGAGTCATTCATACCACTTTACACGACCAATTGAGAAACGTTCATTCATACAAACCACTGCTATTATGGCGCAAATCACAGGCAGCACACATGTGCGGGGTTCTCGCCAGGTTGAAACGGGTAGAGGGTGAAGATGGACGTGGATCGGAAATACCCTCCCATTTTCAACCGTCGCCCTGCGACGATTTAACCGAAAACCCAACTTGATACTGTCCATGCGACCAGCATGAAGACCCTGAAAGCCGCTGTGCCGAACTCTGTCTCGGTCGGTTGCGGACCCACGCCATCTTCTACCACTTGCCGCGTTGCCGACTGGTGAAGGTTTGTAGATACACACAAACTTTCAGACCCTGCAGCCGAACGGTGCGTTATCTGCGGAGGCGCTCCAGACTCCCCAGGAGAAAACATGTGACCAATGACTTGAGATGAGAGCAGTTCATCCAGTGCATGAAATGGTTGCACAACCTATCGATTACTGTATTGCATACCATGCAAATACAAATCCCCGTCTGCCTATCACACAGATTGTTGACTGCCTAGTTCATCATGACCCGATGTCAATACTCGACATGAGTCCGGGTTCCCTCCAATTTGGGCACGCAGCATCAGCCAAGACAGCAGCCTGTTTGATTCCCAGAGAGACTTTGATGCCATGCAGATGATCCGCAGCCCAAGACCGCACTGCGGCACTATTCATCTCCTCCTGCGACACGATGTACAGTGGCCAAATCATCGTCGACGCTCCTGCGAAGGTATTAGTTCAGGACAGGACTTCGTCGTCCGGGGTCGCTTACTCGGTGAACCAGAGAGGTCTGTTGTTGATATGCAAATATCGGTCGACAGGTTTCGAATTGCTGAAAAGGCCTCAAACCGCATTGCCTCTTTAAAAGACTCATTATACGCGTTCTGCTGGTCCACATAGTTCAGAAGAATCTCATTAGCCAGAATACCCAACGACCTCCAATTATTCCAGACTTGCGCTCCCCAGACGCTGGTATATACGTGACGTTTTCCGTTGAAATACGTTCCGGTGCGAGGTTCAATGACCTCAGTCACGTAGTAAGCTCTGTGAGTCTGCAGCGCTGCCCAGGCCTGCAAGTCGCTTTTGATGTCGAGTATGATCTGACAGATCGCGTCGGGGTCCGTGATTCGCTGGCTCTTGATATCTGCGCGGAGGTTGACGATACGAAAACCAATAAGAGCCAAAGACCCTGGACGATTGTTCACGTAACGCATCCCGAGTCTGCTGGACTCGAATTCCGTGGTTACCTCCACCAGTGCTGCGGGGACTCTTGCGCCTCGCTGAATACAGGCTTGAAGCTATGCAAGTCAGTCTCTGGAGCCGGATGTTGCATGTCATTCAACTTACTATCTGATTTCTGAATTGCATGTAAAGTTGTATACCTAATTCACGAGAGAATTGTTCTTGGCCGCGAACTTGTAGCAGTGCTGTGGCTCCCTCGATGTGCGTTGCCCAAGTCTGGTAATCTCTCCAGTTTTCAAAAGTGACGGTCTGCCTTGACGTCAGTCAATGCTGGATATCAACGTTATCCTGGTTGACGATAGATGAGTACCTCAAAGAGCCCCAGCAGAAGGATCGCCATGAGGGTTGAGTCCGCCGCGACCAGGGCCGGGTCGCGTAAGGCCAAGTTGGTAGCATTCAAGGCTTGACAATATCGTTCTTTGGCCTGAATAATCACATCGGGTGCGTTGTGTACGTTGGATATCGCCGC